AAATAAATAAATAAATAAATAAATAAAGACTGCTAGTATGTACATAAAATATCAAAGCAACTGTACATAAAACTGGTAAAATTAAAAGCATATCAAAAAGTTATAATCAGAAATCAAGTAACTATTGGCATCCTTTTGGAGCAGCTCTGGGAGATGGAGTATTGACTTACAGTGTCTCCACTATTACCTTAGATGCTGCTTCCAAAAAGTAGTTAGGGGGCACTATTGCTTTGCCAGGGACGCGGGTGGCGCTGTGGTCTAAACCACTGAGCCTCTTGGGCTTGCCGATCAGAAGGTCGGCGGTTCAAATCCCCACGACGGGGTGAGCTCCTGCTGCTGTGTCCCAGCTCCTGCCAACCTAGCAGTTCAAAAGCACACCCAAAGTGCAAGTAGATAAATAGGTACCACTCCGGCGGGAAGGTAAACAGAGTTTCCATGCACTGCTCTGGTTTCGGTGTTCCGTTGCACCAGAAGTGGCTTGGTCATGCTGGCCACATGACCCGCAAAAACTGTCTGAGGACAAACGCCGGCTCCCTCGGCCTGTAAAGCGAGATGAGCCCCGCACCCCATAGTCGTCTGCGACTGGACTTAACTGTCAAATCCTTTTATTGATTGGCCCCATGGGAGTTGTCTTTCATCATCCCAAAGGGTTCCATCTTGTCTCAAAGCTACCATATTTTTCCATGCATAAGACACCCCATGTATAAGACGACCCCTATTTTCTTAACCCAAAATTAAGAAAATGCACTACGCACTATCAATGTATAATACAACCCCTTGTTTTAAACTTCAAAATTTAGGAAAAAATATAGTCTTATGCATGGAAAAATATGGTATTTAACATGTATTTGAAGCCACTGGGATCTGTCATTAGGAGATCTGGAGTAAAGTGTCATCAATATGCAAATGACACCCTGATCTATCTCTCTGTTCCATCTGAATCAGGAGAGGGGGTTGAGGTGTCAGACGGATGCTTGGACGTGATGATGGGATGGATGCGGGCAAATAAATTGGAGCAGAGTCCTGAAAGACAGAGGTGTTATGTGCCCCAAGGTCTTATGTTAGGAAGGTAGGGAGACAGCCTGCTCAAATGGGGTTGCACTCCCTTGGCAGGAGCAGGGCTGCAGCTTGGGGCAGCTCCTGGATTCAGCACCGTCACTGGAGGTTCAGGTGACCTTGGTGACTAGGAGTCCCTTTGTCCAGATGACTGTGCTGGTTTACCTTAAAACAGGACCACTCCATGTATGAACCTCCAGCCAGAATGTAGCCCATTATTCATGCATTGTGGCATCTCAGGTGCTTGAAGGTGCCCCCTGCAACATAATTTTGCTCTTTTAGGTAGGCAGTGTGAAATATTCCATGTAGACCCTGGAGAGGCACCATACATGGTTGTTGGCCTACATCTAACTGAGAGGGTCACAAGTTGTGCAGATGTGCTTCAAATACTATTACAGTAACGAAACAACAGGTTGCAGCAGCACTTGGATCTTGCAGAATAACCTGTGCTTTGAAGACCAATTGAAAAGTGATTGGGAAAGAGGGCGCATCAAAAAATGTCCACCCACATAACTGTAAGTTCTCAAAATAATGGTCTTTACAGGATGATTTGTGTTAATCTAGTGACTCAGAGGCATTTACTTTCACAAGAACTCAGGATGAATTATTGTCACCATTGACTAGGGTGAATACATTTTATTACCCCTGTTCTTGCACTTAGTCTGATTATTATGCTGCTTCAGACTTCTGCTACCTCTCTCTTGTCTTATGCTTTGGCTCTAACTACAGCAGCCTCATAAAAGCTTTGCCTTCTACTTTGTCTCATTTGAACAGAACTCAGCTCTTTTTCTTCTTCTCTTTCTGGTTTCTCCTCCCCCCCCCCCCTTTACATCCATGCCCATGTGGATTATAAAGCAGAAGTCTGGGAGCCATACATTGGTTCCTTTCTTATTTCAGCGTGTCCTCATTTACAAGGGCATTCAACAGTCATGAAGAACAAACAGAAATTTTAAGAGGCAGAGAATCAGCTTTCACTATTTCTGAATCTATTTCTCTGCATTTACAAATGCAGTATGACTTTCAAAGGTACAAGAGAGAATTGCTGCTCTTGCCACTTGCGTGGTGGACGACAACAAGTTACCTGGACAGGAAGATGGCATTCTCACCAGCTCCACCCAGGAGGTAGTGTGGCGTTTAGAGTATTGGACAAGGACCAGGGAAACCATAGATCAAATCCCTACTGAACCACAGAGCTCACTGGGCCAGTCACTACATCTCTGAATCGCAGCCTCACCTATCTTGCAGGATAAAATGGTGGAGGGGGAAAACCACGTATGCCACCTTGAGCAACTTAGAACAAAGTTGGAATATACGTGTAACAATAACTGCATTAACCATATAAAACCAGTCCTGAAAGACCTACATTGGCTCCCAGTACATTTCCGAGCACAATTCAAAGTGTTGCTGCTGATTTTTAAAGCCCTAAATGGCCTTGGCCCTTGGCCCTGAAAGAGCATCTCCACCCCCATCATTCATTTTTTTTTTTTTTAAGAATATTTATTCAAGTTTTAAGATTACAAAAAAAAAAGAAAAAACAAAACAAGAAAACCAGTGACATACATCTTACAAAAGATACACACCATACAAGGAAAAAAAGAAAAAAGAAAAAATACACAAGACCAAAAATCACAATAAAAAATAACAAAAAAAGAATTCAAATTTAACAAACCGTATTCCCATTTACTTATTTCCGTGACTTCCTCACACTTCTCTGCTTTGTATTCTAATTCAAATTGTATCTCCAGCAAATCCTTCTAACCTTCTTTCCATTCACTTATTTTAACATTTTAACATTCAAAAATATTTAATTCTCCTCTATCCTTTAATTTACACTTCATATTTACTTAATTCCATTATACTCTGTCTGCCAATACGGTCTAATATTTCCTCTCCAACCTTTCCTAACATTCTTTTATGTTACAGTGATTCTGTAGATATATTTTAAACTTTTTCCAATCTTCTTCCATCAACCCTTCTTCTTGATCTCGAATTCTTCCAGTCATCTCAGCCAGTTCCATATAGTCTATCACTTTTCTCTGCCATTCTTCTCGGGTAGGCAATTCTTGTGTCTTCCAATATTTCCCAATGAGTATTCTTGCCGCTGCTGTCGCATCCACCCCCATCATTCAGCCCAGGCACTGAGATCTAGCTCCAAGGGCCTTCTGGTGCTTCCCTCACTGTGAGAAGTGAGGCTACAAGGAACTAGGCAGAGGAACTTCTCGGTAGTGGCACCACCCTGTGGAACACCCTCCCATCAGATGTCAAGGAAATAAACAACTACCTGACTTTTAGAAAACATCTGAAGGCAGCCCTGTATAGGGAAGTTTTTAATGTCTGATGTTTTATTATGTTTCTGTATATGCTGGAAGCCGCCCAGAGTGGCTGGGGTGACCCAATCAGATGGGTTGGGTAAAATTGTTATTATAATTATTAACTAAACGTTTAGTGGTACTGAACTGGAACCTAGGCACTCATAAGGTGAACAGGATCACCCCCATCCACCTTGTCCAACCCCAAAAATCCTTGATTTCAGTGCCTGGGCTATATTCTTCCTGATTATTTTCTTCCAAAGCAACTACTCTATTGCCAACTTAAGAATGGAAAGCGAAATACTGGTGGACAACAAAAGAGATTTAAAGATGCTCTCAAGGCAAATCTAAAAAAAGAAAGAAAAATGTAGTATAAGCACCGATAATTGGGAAACACTAGACTGCAAGCTGGGACACGGGTAGCGCTGTGGTCTAAACCACAGAGCCTAGGGCTTACCAATCAGAAGGTCAGCGGTTTGAATCCCCGCGACGGGGTGAGCTTCCGTTGCTCGGTCCCTGCTCCTGCCAACCTAGCAGTTCGAAAGCACGTCAAGTGCAAGTAGATAAATAGGTACCACTCTGGCGGGAAGGTAAACAGCATTTCCGTATGCTGCCCTGGTTCACCAGAAGTGGCTTAGTTATGCTGGCCACATGACCCAGAAAAACTGTCTGTGGACAAATGCCGGCTCTCTCAGCTTATAGAGTAAGATGAGCGCGCAACCCCAGAGTCGGTCACGACTGGACCTAATGGTCAAGGGTACCTTTACCTTTAGACTACAAGCACTCCAATTGGAGTATAGTCTCGACTAAAGGCGTCATGGATTTTGAAGAAGCACGAATTCAGGATGTAAGGGAGAAATGAACTAAGAGGAAGGAATGTTTGGCAAATCCTCAAAGTGATTGCCCAGAAACCTATGTCCCCACTGTGAAAGGATGTGCGGATCCAGAATTGTCCTCCACAGTCATTTATGGACTGCTTTCATGGAAGACAATCTTACTTGGCCACGACTGATCGCCAGGAGAGAGACAACACACACACACACACACACGCAAGATACCCACCAAGCAGAGGGAATGAGTATTCAAATGTAGCCATAAAGCTGCTGAGTAGTATTTGGGGTACTAACTATCCCTTCTTTCCCTTCATAGTTGGCTTTGCCCTACATTGCCCCCTATTTCCATCTCTTTGGGCTGTTGCCTCTGGCCATTGCTTTATCATAATCTTGCAGGCCCCGTGCTTCTTCTGCTTGACACTTCCAGGCACTTAAATAGCTCCCTCCTGGCCACTGTGGAAGAAAGTATAATCCTTTGGAGTGACAGACACTTCTGGACATTTAAACGTGGCAATTCCCTTTCTCTCTCCCCTTCCATAGGCCTGCACTCTAGCCTTAAGCAACTTCTGCATTCTAGAGCCTATTGCCCATATGTGCATTACAGATTCCGATGTATATTTTGTGACCATCCAGCCTAACTACTAATAATCAAGTTCTATTCCAAGGGGATTCATAGTTAAGGAATATATTTTATTTGGTTCTTAATATATATATATATATATATATATATATATATATATATATATATCCTGCCCTTTTTTAAGTTTGAAGAAATTTGTCCTGTGGTTTCCAAAACACAAACTTAGGCTCAGTTGGTATAGCGTGAGACCTTTTCATCTCAGGGGTGCGGGTTCAAGCCCCACATTGGGCAAAATATATTCCTTCAGTGCAGGGGGTTGGACTAGATGACCTTCGTGTTCCCTTCCAACTCTGCTGGTGTGATGGCCTGGGATTCTGATTCAGAGGCTGAACAGGAGGAATCCCAGCCTGCACAGGAGTCCCCGCCTCCAGGGCCGGCTGCACTGGGGCAGGGCCTTGATTCTGAAGCACCTGCACCTGTGCCGGATCCTCAGGAGCAGGCACCAGGTGAATCCACTCTGGCTCCGGAGGTGGTTGAGGACTCAGTGCCTACAGGTGAGTCTCCCCCTGGGTCCAGTAACCCTTCAGCCTCTCCTGAACTGCAGAGGCTCAGGGCAGAGAGGCGAAGGGAACTGGTTTCTCCCAGGAGGAGTGCTCGCCTTAAGGCCAGGAGAGGCGGGTCTCCTGGGGGCCGGGACTGCCCCTGGCCTCAGAGAAGATAAAGGCCAGTCAGCCCGGTCCCAGGTTGCGGGAGCAACGTCGTCGTTGTGGAGTACCTGTTCCTGCCCGGACCCAGACCTGACCCTGTCCCCGCCCGGCTTCCTGCTTCAGACCTCGCCCCGCTCCTTGTGAACTGTTTCCAGGCTAGTGACCCAGGACCGGACTTTGACTACGCCAACGGTAACCTTCCCCCCGGGACCAGCACAGCTGGTCTATAATTTGAGGATTCAATACCTCAGGTTACATACGCTTCAGGTTACATACGCTTCAGGTTACAGACTCCATTAACCCAGAAATATTACCTCAGGTTAAGAACTTTGCTTCAGCATGAGAACAGAAATTCTGCTCCAGCGGCGTGGCGGCAGCAGGAGGCCCCATTAGCGAAAGTGGTGCTTCAGGTTAAGAACAGTTTCAGGTTAAGAACGGACCTCCGGAACGAATTAAGTACTTAACCCGAGGTACCACTGTATATTTTTGAATTATGGTGCTGGAGGAGCCTCTTGAGAGTCCCATGGACTGCAAGAAGATCAAACCTCTCCATTCTTAAGGAAATCAGCCCTGAGTGCTCACTGGAAGGACAGATCCTGAAGCTGAGGCTCCAATACTTTGGCCACCTCATGAGAAGAGAAGACTCCCTGGAAAAGACCCCAATGTTGGGAAAGATGGAGGGCACAAGGAGAAGGGGACGACAGAGGATGAGATGGTTGGACAGTGTTCTCGAAGCTACCAGCATGAGTTTGACCAAACTGCGGGAGGCAGTGGAAGACGGGAGTGCCTGGCGCGCTCTGGTCTATGGGGTCACGAAGAGTTGGGCACGACTAAATGACTAAACAAACAACAACAACCACTGCATATGGATGTGTCCACAAAGGGAGCTGCAGAACAGAAGGGAGGAGGCAGCATGAAAATGGGGTGGTCTGTGTGCAAGGGAGAGGTTTTTTTAAAAAGGTAAAGAGGAAGTTGGAGGGGGAGGAAGGGAGTGAGGGTCAAAATGGGGCACAAAGGGTGTTGCAGAAAAGGAAGGATTAGGAGGTAGAGAAAAAGGGTTGAAGATGAAAGTGAGGGCATGAAAGGGTCTGAAGAACAGAAGGAAGGGTAGCTTCATAATTGGGCAGATGGTGAAAAGGATGTTTAGTACAGTGGTACCTCGGGTTACATACGTTTCAGGTTATATATGCTTCAGGTTACATACGCTTCAGGTTACAGACTCTGCTAACCCAGAAATAGTACCTTGGGTTAAGAACTTTGCTTCAGGATGAGAACAGAAATCAAGCGCCGGTGGCGTGGCAGCAATGGGAGGCCCCATTAGCTAAAGTGGTACTTCAGGTTAAGAACAGTTTCAGCTTAAGAATGGACCTCCGAAACGAATTAAGTACTTAACCCAAGGTACCACTGTAGTTGCGATGCATGTGGGGAAGAAGATGCAGGGGGTTGCCATGGGGGCAGGGGTGCCAACTTGAATAAAATATTCAGGGGACAGGTAAGCCCTGCCTTGCATGATCAATTACAAGATGCGGCAATCGCACACCATTTGAATGGCAATGCCCATCAACTTTGGGAGGGGGCAGCCCCCTCAAATATTTTATTGGGCGTGTGTGAAGGAGCTTCGGCCTCCTAAGCATGGGGGTGGTTTGTGTGAAAGGGGGGTTGCGCAAGACGAGAAAGAGGCACGGACATGGGAGCGAAAGTGAGAACAGTGGAGCAAAGCGGAACTACAGAATAGAAGACAGAAGTGGCCTCGGAAATTAGCTTGGGAAGGTGGATAGCAAGCTGCATGGCATGGCAAGGGGAAGCCCTAACGTAGGGGGAATGACAAGAGGCTTAGCAAGTGGAGCAAGCAGGGGTGCAGCTCCTAGTGTATAAAGAAAAGAGCAGTGTGGTTTCCTTGAAAGCTGTTTCTCAGACACATGAAGTCGACTTACGTGCCTAAGAAAGAAGCAATCGATATAAAACTGATAAATGCAGAGGATGAATGGAAATCGATGTGTCTCCTTGCTTTGGAGCAATTGAACAAACCTACATGTTCTGTGCAAAGCAAAGGGAGAATGGGTGCAAGCTGAATTGTGGAAATAGTGAAGGCTGTGAAGCAGAGTGGGTGTAGCAAATCATCATCTCTTCTTCTCAGAGAATCATAGAATGGTAAAGTTGGAAGGGACCCTGAACATCATCTAGTCCAACTCTCTGCAATGCTAGAATATGCAGCTGTCCCATACGGGAATCGAACCCTCAACCTTGGTGTTATCAGCACCATGCTCTAACCGACTGAGAAGAAAAAGAATGTGTAAAATAGAGGGATTTCTTTGTTACATGCTGGATCAATCACAGCTTCCCAAATTGCTCCCCTCCAGTACTCTCCCCCCCCCCCCCACTTATAACATCATGGTCAAAATGGCTAGATATCTCCTTACAATGAGAAGAGAAGTGGTTAGTGCAAACATTAACAGAAATGAGAAAACACATCTTCAAACACAAATAGAGGTTTGACTGGGACCGTTGGAAATAAAGGTTCAGAAGGCAGTTAAAGACAGCATGTGAGTGAGTGCCTAAGAAAAAGAGAGGACAGAAACGATCCCATATGCAAACAAAGAAAACTAGAAATAAGGCCATAAGGAGAGCCCTCCGGGATCAGGCCAAAGGCCCATCTATTATCCCATTTTCACAGTGGCCAACCAGAATCTGTCAACGTTTCCCTTTTTTAAAGGGAAATTCCCTTATTCCGAATAGGATTCCTCGCAAGAAAAAGGAAAAGTTGACAGCTATGAACCAGATGCCTCTCTGAAGCCTACAAGTAGAACCTGACTGCAATGGCCCTTGGCCCACTTGTGATTCCCAGCAATTGGTATTCATGGGCAATCCACATAAAGTGATCTTTATGGAGCAAGGACAAAATCCCTAGGAACTAAAGCATGCTAAGAGAGTAACTTCATTGATCAAGTGCCTAAAGTGAAAATAAAGAAACCGGAGCTATAATGTACAGAATATATAATCAGACTTGTGTATGGCAATGGACCCAATCCACCATAGATTTAGGCCTGCTTATGTCCAAACCCATCTTGCCATGCTGTCTGCAAATATTAGTCATCTTCAGCTGCCAGCTACCGAAGGAGGCTGCCCTCATTTTCTTAATTTGCACTAACATGCAGGGTGATCCTAGCCATGTCTACTTAGAAATAGGTAAAGGTAAAGGGACCACTGACCGTTAGGTCCAGTCGCGGACAACTCTGGGGTTGTGGCGCTCATCTTGCTTTACTGGCCGAGGGAGCCGGCATTTGTCCACAGACAGTTTTTCCAGGTCATGTGGCCAGCATGACTAAACCGCTTCTGGCGAAACCAGAGCAGTGCACGGAAATGCCGTTTACCTTCCCACTGGAGCGGTACCTATTTATCTACTTGCACTTTGACGTGCTTTCGAACTGCTAGGTTGGCAGGAGCAGGGACCGAGCAACGGGAGCTCACCCCATTGCGGGGATTCGAACCGCAACCTTCTGATCGGCAAGTCCTAGGCTCTGTGGCTTAACCCACATTGCCACCCGCGTCCCTTACTTAGAAATAAGTCTCATTAAATTAAATAGGACCTACTCCCAGGGGTTAAGATTGCTGCCTTGGTAATTATTTTATACAGTTTGATTTTGTTAGCCACCTTGAACAATTGAACAGAAAATCAGGAACATTTTTTTTTTAATAAAGGAAGACAATGTGGTGCTCTCTCTATTTGGGTGGGCGTCCCAAGCCTCATTCATACACCTTGAGCCTGTTAGGAGCAGCTGCTAGGGCATGTGTGCTAGGTTTGTTTATGGAACAGAAGCGTAGCAGTTCTGAAACTGATTTCCCAGTGAGCAAGATTGGGAAGGAGAGAGGGGGTATACTGGGCTGGCCTTCTCCTCCATCCTTCTTCTCCCCTCCTTCCCCCTGCCACTTAGCAACCATTGATTTCTGTAGTCATCCAGTGATGAATATGCATACGTGAATCAGCTCTAACACAGCTTTAAAAGAAAGAAAGAAAAGTAGAAATAAATTCAATAACAGAAGCTGTAAATACATAATAGCAGAACTGCATGTTCTGAAACTTGGGCGTTTACACGCTTGTGTGAAGTTATTGCTAATCACCCTGGGGGCTTGCTTTCATCATCTTCGCCTTCAGCAAGAATAAGAAGCGAATTGTTTCGCCTTGCAGCATGTTGTTTTCTGAGTCCATCTAGCGTACAAGTCTATTGGTCTTTATTAATCATTGATTCAGTCTGGCTGGCTACAGGGGCCAAAAAAAGCTTTCCCTTTGTCAATATTTGTTTCAAAGAGCTGTCTCTCATGTACTGATGTATTGTTTGCCGTTTCCAGTAATTGGTTGCTTTGCATTCCATTTGTCAACCCACCAATTTTCAGGGAAAAGGTGTGGTATCAAAGTTACATTGGGCCACCAAAGCTCAGTTATTCATTTCCTGCAAGATTCTCCAAGTCTTTAAATCAAACCTTGTCAAGTTTTAATCCCTTCTTCCTTCATGGTGAGGAACTGCAGAGAACTCAACTTCAGCAGCAGAAATTGGCATGCTCAACTATATGCCATACATATTTGTCTTTCTACACCTAGGACCCAGGTGGCGCTGTGGGTTAAACCACAGAGCCTAGGACTTGCTGATCAGAAGGTTGGAGGTTTGAATCCCTGCGACGGGGTGAGCTCCCATTCCTCAGTCCCTGCTCCTGCCAACCTAGCAGTTCGAAAGCATGTCAAAGTGCAAGTAGATAAATAGGTACCACTCGGGTGGGAAGGTAAACAGTGTTTCCGTGCGCTGCTCTGGTTCGCCAGAAGCGGCTTAGTCATGCTGGCCACATGACCCGGAAGCTGGATGCCGGCTCCCTCGGCCAATAAAGCGAGATGAGCGCCGCAACCCCAGAGTCGGTCACGACTGGACCTAATGGTCAGGGGTCCCTTTACCTTTGCCTTTACACCTAGCTGAAACAATATGCTACGTTACCAAGTCAAATGAAGGCCACCAGTCATGTGCTCTGGCCTGCCAGGTGATACCCCACTTTCAGGGGGTATAGAATTGAAGCCTTACAGCAAGAATGCCTAGCTTGTGTACCTTTCCACACTTGTTGTTATCTCTGAGAAACATAGAAAATAACAGGATATATTTATATGAATTCTTCAAACTTACACGACCCTTTAAAAATTAGGTAAGGAACCAAATGTTATATAATACTGTTTTATAATTTATGACTGTTTTACAATTTATGATAATTTAGAATTTAAATGTATTTTCATGTAATATTTGATACTTCCAGCTGATGAAGGTGAAAACATCGAAACAGGGCCCTGTCCTGGTTTCTGATCCATAATTGACTTCTAACTTCTGCTCAATGATTGAAACTAAGACCTCCACATTGAATCTGACTATGGACTAACATGAACTTACTGGTTTCTGATTCATAACTGGATATACATATCCTTATGAGTTTGAGTTTGTAATCTCTATTCGAGTTTGTAATCCTTGTCAGAACACATACTTTTGAATGGATTAGTTTTTGTTACAATTGACTATTGATTTGCGAGTAGGGACCACTCCCACTATTGAAACTTATATTGGCCTGAGTTCTTGGTGTGCTATTTTCTCTTGGTATAAAGGAACAGGTTGGCAGAAGTCATGGGCAGGGTGGTTGAGAGAGTGGTGGCAAGTCAACCGCAGACACACCAGAAGGATATAGAATATCTAGACCCATTTTAGCCTGGCTTTAGACTTTGGTTTGGTTCACCTTACTCTCCTTGATAGATGACTTTTTTTTCAGGAGGCAGAGATGAGGAGCACCATCCTGTTGATTGTTATGGATTCCTCAGTGATGTGCCACACTGTGATATCTTCCTAGAACAGCTCAATGGGCCAGGAGTTGGTGGCCCTGTATCAAAGTGGCTTTGCTCTGCAATGTCACAACCAGAGAGTGAGAATGGATGAACCCATCAATTTCAGCTTCTCTCAGCTTCTCATTTTTTTCAAATCTTAAATTCAGTTCTCCACATTTCTGCATAAGTTTGGGATTTTTTTAAAAAAAGACCTAATGGAAATTCAGCAACGTATTGGAGCAAACTGGTTCTTATATACACATTTTGGATGCAGTAGACACACCTTTGCAAGCTCTTTCCCCTAATGTAATGAATTTTAGGCTACATTCACTAATATGTGAATTTTGATGCACACTTTCTCCTAATATACACATTTTATTTGGCTGTAAACCTGCATCACAAAATTGGGAGGAATGCAATTTGAAGGATAGGTATGCCTTGATTTGCATATTGTTGGGGCAAGTGCCAGTTAGGTGGGTTCTCATTAAAATGCAAATTGAATACATGTTCTCCACCTCGACCAGAACCATAGCATTGGAGGGCTTCTGTCAGGCTCTTGTGCTGGTAGCCCCGCAGGGATCATCTTGACCCCTATGCTGGTTAACCTCTATATGAGACCGCTGTAACATGTCACCCAGGAATCTGGGGTCTAGTGTCATCAACAGACAATATGCTATTTTTCTAGAAAAAGAAATGCCAGACCTCACCATGAATATAATAATAATAATAATAATAATAATAATAATTTATTATTTATACCCCGCCCAACTGGCTGAGTTTCCCCAGCCACTCAGGGGGGCTCCCAATAAAGTGTTAAAAACAATACAGCATTAAATATTAAAAACTTCCCTAAACAGGGCTGCCTTCAGATGTCTTTTATGGAGAAGATAGCTGCTTATTTCCTTCACATCTGAAGGGAGGGTGTTCCACAGGGCGGGTGCCACTACCGAGAAGGCCCTCTGTCTGGTTCCCTGTAGCTTTGCTTCTTGTAATGAGGGAACCACCAGAAGGCCCTCAGTGCTGGACCTCAGCGTCCGGGCTGAATGATGGGGGTGGAGACGCTCCTTCAGGTATACAGGACCGAGGCCATTTAGGGCTTTAAAGGGCAGCACCAACACTTTGAATTGTGCTCGGAAACGTACTGGGAGCCAATGCGGATCTCTCAGGACTGGTGTTATTTGGGCCCGGTGGCCACTCCCAGTCACCAGTCTAGCTGCTGCATTCTGGATTAATTGCAGTTTCCGGGTCACCTTCAAAGGTAGCCCCACGTAGAGCGCATTGCAGTAGTCCAAGTGGGAGATAACCAGAGCATGCACCACTCTGGCGAGACAGTCCGCAGGCAGGTAGGGTCTTAGCCTGAGTACCAGGTGGAGCTGGTAGACAGCCGCCCTGGACACAGAATTAACCTGCACCTCCATGGACAGCTGTGAGTCCAAAATGACTCC